TCTCTCTTTAATATTTTTTTTCTCATATTCTCGAACACTCAGGAGCCCACGTGCGTCTTAGTGGCTTTATTGGCTTGCTTGGGTGAAATTATTTTTAAAAAAGAAAATAAATGAAAAAGGAAAAAAAGAAGAAATAAAGTAGAAAAAAATAAAAAAGAAAGAAAGGGAAATAGGAAAAGGAAAAAGGACAATAAGAAAGTAAAAAAGATAAGAAAAAAAAGAGAAAATCAACAAACAAAAAGAAGAAAAGAAAAGAAAAAGAAAGTAAAAGGAAAAATAAATCAATGAAAAAATGTCAATAAAATAAATAAAAAAAATATAAGTAAAAATAAAGAAAATGGGATTAAAAAATCCTACCAAATGTGCAGGTTTTTTCAAAGATAAAACGATTCGAATTTTTCACTCTAAAATAATTCCATTAGTCGATAATTTAATATCTCAATTCTGATAGCCTCCAAAGCCGGGACATTGTCGAACAGTTTGACCAAAATTCCCTGACAATATAATCGTCTGTGGCAGAACGTGATGAGATTACCATATTACTCTGTTCTTATAGTGAACGCCACTTCCGTCTCTCTTTTGGGAAATTTTTATTTCAGCACATCAAATTCATTTTATCATTTCTGAACTCCCCAAGTTACAGTTTGGTGGTTAATAGATTTGGCGTCAAACAATGTTGGGTTCTGATCTTGTACGTTCGCAGATAAGATTAAAACCTCCCTCCACCTCCAAATATTTTTCTCTGATTTTTGGTTTTGTCGAGGCCAGTAATTAAATTTTCTGAGACGCGTATTGATATCATATATATATATATATATATATATATATATATATATATATATATATATATATATATTGTTGTATTTTTATTAAAACTTAGAAAATTTTACAGATTTCACATATCTAACCCGCAATGTGCATCCATATATAATTTTGTGTGTGACACTGTTCTACGTCCCGAGAAGAGTCTACGGTATAAAGATGTGTATTGTTCTTTTGATAACGTAGTAGAAATAGAAGTTTTTTGATAACGTAGTAGAAATAGAATTTTTTCTTAATTTTTCCCTATCTTTTTATGTGCCATGTCCTCTTAGGACGTAGGCGATCATGGCTCCCCACCTTCCTCTATACCTTGCAGCGCTCAACAAGTTCCTTCCAACCTCAGACCATGTTCTGTCGTCCACTTGCTTAAGCCCGCCAGGTATGTCAGACATTGTTTTCTCTTGTCTCTCTTTCCCTCTGTTCGACCCGTCAGTATCAGATTCTCCAGGCCCTCCTTCCTCATTATGTGGCCCAGAAACTTCAGCTACCTCTTTCTAATATTAAGTATAAGCCTCCTCCTTGTTTGAAAACTTTCTGAGACCTCATCGTTACTCGGTCCATGTCATCCTCAGCATCCTTCTGTAGGGTCCTACATTTCCGTCGCCTCTACATCTATGAGGAAATCGTTCAACATTCGATGCCATAACGAAGGAAAGGTGTCACGTAAAAGTTCTGTATTCTTTTCTTTGTCACCAAAGAAATCCCCCTGTCTCGCAATACTCTGTCCGGCTTTTGGAATGTGACTTTGGCCATCCCAATACGTCCTAGGATCTCAGTGTCGCTTTTACCGTCGTCTATCAAGACTCTTCCCGGATATTTAAACTTCTGCGTCTGCTTGATTCTAGTGTTCCCGACCTTCAAATCGCATTTCGGGCTCATCTTTTTACTGATGACCATGCATCGCATTCTTGTAGTTTATGCATAGTCCCTTCTTCACACTTCCTGTCGCTATCTTCCGTAAGAGATTTTGTCATTTCTTTTCCGTATCTACTATCAGTACTGCGTCATCTGCGTATCTTATGTTGCTAAGATTATGGCCGCCAATGCGAAATCCCGGTAGGGTTTCCAACTCTCTCAGAATTGCCTCGTTTTATACAGGTCGGGTGAGAAGATGCATCCTTGCCTTACGCCACTTTCTGTTTTTGTATATTCACTTTCCATATCTATCTATCTATCTATCTATCTATCTATCTATCTATCTCAGACTTCTCATATCTATCTATCTATCTATCTATCTATCTATCTCAGATCTATCTATCTATCTATCTATCTATCTATCTATCTATCTATCTATCTATCTATCTATCTATCTCAGTCTTTTCATATCTATCTATCTATCTATCTAAGTCTTTTCATATCTATCTATCTATCTATCTATCTATCTATCTCCGTCTTTTCATATCTATCTATCTATCTATCTATCTATCTATCTATCTATCTATCTATCTATCTATCTATCTATCTATCTATCTATCTATCTCAGTCTTTTCATATCTATCTATCTATCTATCTATCTATCTATCTATCTATCTAAGTCTTTTCATATCTATCTAAGTCTTTTCATATATCTATCTATCTATCTATCTATCTAAGTCTTTTCATATCTATCTATCATATTCATCTATCTATCTATCTATCTATCTATCTATCTATCTATCTATCTCCGTCTTTTCATATC